AAAATACAGGAATTTGGCAATGATGTAATAGAGGTAGAGTATTTGCAAGAATTATAGGTGCTTCCCAGACATAACTTGACACAGACATGTTTGGCATTCCTGAACATGCTCAACTGTCAAGAATATTAATTGTACAGGTATAGCAAGGATTCATAAGCCATTCAAATGACTACACAAACATTACTGTTCCATAGGACAAATATTACTTCCTTAATGTACATCAGACATACTTAATTGTGTTCCTTGACATATATTTCACCAAGTACCCCTCATTTCTAACACACTGAAATATTATCTGTACTCCACACCAATAAAAGCCCTGTGAGGAGTCCAAAGGAGTATAGACAGGTAACCAGCAACCTATGCCATGTGTATGCTGGTCCTAAGAGGCAACTTAATGGACAATGACAGATCAGGTGGTCAGGCTCAGTGACTAGGTTGATAGTGTGTCATGTTACCCCTGATTGTCACTCCTAATTTCAATCAATCTCGGTCCATCGGCATGTAGTTGGAATATTGCTGAGCGAGGTATTAAACAACAAACAAAACAACCATGAAGCCATACCTATTCCCCTAACAACAAACTAGATGTTTTCACAATGTTTGCAAGATATATTCATTAAACTGGTCATCGACATGATGTGCCTTCTATCATGTTCCTGGGACTCTGATTAGAAAGCTCTAATTTCACAAATCAGGGACTTGTCAGGGATTCCAAACTAAGTCCACTTGGCAGGCAAATTGGGAAAATATCATGATATTTTTCAAAATCAGATTATCATTATGTACTTATTTTTGTCAATTCTGAAAAACTGGGTTTTTTTAACTTAAATTGGGAATTTGATCTGTTATTTGCTGCATACCTGGGGATGAATATCGGCCTCTGATCAGGTCTAGAGAAATCCCTATTCATGGCCTCCTGATGGTAAAACATGCATCACAAGCCACGGAGGCATATGAACCTAACAGTCTGTGGTTGCGGTTGGTGAAAACACCATGTCTCTGACAGCTGACTGGCAGTGTCATGACCTTTCACTATTACATGATTTACGAAATAAAAAACTCATCTGAAATTGACATTCATCAGGGCTACTGTATCCAGAAAGCATCTGTGACTGATACAAGGGATGTATGTCACCAGAAAAGCACAAGCTGGGCATTGGTTGGAGTGACATCTGCATAGGACATATTGGATTCAGTTTATTTACCGACATTTTTTGTGGCACATGAGCAACAAACATCAAAATGTATAATTGATTGCTGATATTGTAAGTAGCAGATTTTATGGAATATCTGCATTAATGATTAAATGAGAGGTTTGGTGTCATATTCTTTTATCAGCGGTGAGTGTGATATGTCAATAGGTATCATGATATTTCAACATGATTAACGTCATGTGATGTGTAACATTCTGCATGGAAAACGCTGAATCAATTAAACACTGAGTCATTTACATCAATCCCATTCTAAAGAAGTCATTTATATTAAAATAAATCATAACCTTCATGTAAAATCATGCAAGTTACACATAGCAAACCTCACTATAAATATCTTCTGCAGTGGGATTATTATGGAAAAAAAAGTTATGCAAAGGAAATTATTCTGATAATATAATTTTTCATGTTTGTTGACCACCCCACAACCCCACACCAAAATAAGAAGTACTCAGAGTGAAAAATAGGTTTTGAATAAAAATCCAACATGTGAAATATTGGTCCCGCCCCCACCAGTTTCAGAGTTTTAAATTGTTTTTGAAAAGGGCCCCCTTAGTTTTACCTTTTAACATTACCTTATGACATGGACCCCTTGGCTTTCATGCTTAATTTCAACCTGTTTCATTTCACACCATACACATGATAAACCACCTACTTCTCCAAACAACTCCCACACTCTCCTCATACTTTCCTGTCAAATATTTTAGCGTAGTCTAATACAATTACACAGACCCAATAATCTGTATGATGGAACTCCTAGGCAAACACGGTACACAAACTACACATGGTATTTCTTCACTATAATAAAGCAAGAACATTCATCACACATGTACACAGCAAAGAATTTTTAACCTGATCAATATCAATGTTTCTTTTAATGAACAATCTTTGCCATCACTCAAAAGAATATTTAATTATACATAGAAACATGTAAACCTAACGAGTCTTTTTGATAATGGGCCTGCCTTATGTCAATAGCTCTTTGATAGCAACACCCTCCTTTCATCCGAGTCCTCTATTGTCATGCCCCCAGAGAGGACGAGACTTGTTAATATAGGTTACATTTCTTGGATGTTGATTTCATCCAATATGTGTCCATGTACATTTCATCCACAGATATAGGCTACTGGACCGAAGTTTGGAGTGAGTGATATTCATAATGAAGTTCAATGACGCCAGCCAGCAACACGACAACTATATCATGGTGGACTGTATGACATAGAAGCAAACCTGTGCTTGGTATCTTTATTAACAATCCATCCCACACACAAACCAGCTGGTCACACATTCACACTTACTTGAAAGTCATCATGGATATTCAAGATTGGATATCAACTTTCATAATTATTCACTGTAATCATATGTGAGACAACTTGTTATTTGTTTGTTGTTTAATGCCACTCTCATCAATATTCCAGCTACATGACATCAGTCTGTAAACAATCATGCCTGGACCAGAAAATTCAGTGATTGACATCATGAGCAATTTTGGGATACAATGACATGCATTCAACCAAGTCCACAAGCCTGAACAACTGAATGTGCACTTCATAACAAAATTATTGTCTTTTTTAACACAAGATACCATGTGCTGGCTCTTTTTAATCTGATGAATAAATATAAATTTAAAAAACCACAGAGATTCCTCATCCTCAGGCTCTTATCAGTCCATATTTCTTCCTGAGACATGTGATAAAACAAAATAAAACATTAATAATCATGATATTTTATAGTCAAAAGTCCATGTTTAGCCTGAACATCATTTTGGCCAGGTACTATATTCTACCTGAACCATGAATTTGTCTTTGTAAAAGGTGTTTATTAATATATATTAATATATTAAACCTCACCCATCAACAAGACATGTAACCTTGTATTGTAATAAAAAAAAACTGTTTGTAATTTACTGCAAGACAATCATACAGAGATACACCAGGCAATATTGTGGTGGTCACTTGTTAACATTTGTTGAACAGTGATGAAGAATGTTCATCACATCCAGAGAATAATGATTCTTATAGCCTACAGAACTGAGATAGAATATCATGTTTCTTATGGTCTATTAAAAGATTCCTGAACAGAAATGTTTAGAATTGCTTAGCATGCTTAGAATATTTTAGATATGCCTTTCAGATAAGACTGCTTGAATTTTATTTTAAATATAAACACCATTAAGAAATGTGTTTACCATGGTACATTATCAGATGCATGAGTACAGAAATGTCATCTTTATCATATTTCCACTGACGGTGCCGAAGGACTGATATGCACATAATTTTACAAACCAAGTCTGGGTCAAAGCAAGATTGTTAGTCTTTCACAAGAAAAAAACATATTTTAATTCTGCTTTCAATGCATGTCAAATAGGAAATGATGAATTATATTCTTTTGTTAAATAGTAGAGCTAATTCAAAAGTTTCAACAACCATGAATGCCCAAGTTTACTCGGAGAAGTCTACCTCTCACTCAACATGCTCAAAGCAATCTGCCTATACAAAAGTTACAATTCTGACAAGCAGAAATTCTAATCTTCAATAGTTTACAACTTTCTATTCAAATGTGTGCTCAGAAAAGTTATTCTGTTTCCTATCAGTCTGCGTCTTAACATACTTAAGCCACTGTAGTCCATAGGAAAAGACTCATAACATTCTTCCAGTCTAATGACATGAGTAAGCTGAACAATAATTCTGAAACTGATGAGATAGAGCTGGCTAGAGGTAGCTTGACTTGCTTTTATATAAATCTGGATTGGTTTTGTTTTCATAAAATACATATATTCCACAGTCAGGACTGCTGAAAAGTCTTCGCTAGTAGACTCAAACATTTTTCAGACAAACTGCAAATATATTTCAACAAAGCCAATAGATTAACTAGATTTAAGCTTACAAAATTTATTTCTTTTGAATATAACCATAAGTAGAACAACCAATAAGTTATATTTTATGACCATATTCTGAAAAGAAACTTATAAGAAAACTTAACCAGTTTTGTGTTATGTCAAATATATTGCAATATATCTTGTAACAGTTCCTACTTCAATCCAGCCACTGTGTACTCGAGCTTGAAGTACACACAGCATGCATGGGACAGGATATTATGGAAGGATGCTGGTGTATTTCTGTAGCATAAAGTCAGTGAGGTCATTGGAACTAACAGCCCAATTAAATATTAAGAAGCAAATAGGCTTGAAAGATGCTATCTTCAAAGCAAACATTGATTAATTGCCTGTAATAGATTGCTAAACAAACACCACCAAATTGCTTTTATGTGCAAACATTTCTGTTTCCACTATGGTCTTAAGCGCATCACTTAATAGCTGTGTGGATATAGGATATATAGGATAATGAATATACAATGCAAGGTAGGAATATACATCAACAATGTGGCGAACAGCCCACTTTACACTGGTCATTTCCCCCATGGAAGTGATACATACTGCTCGGTTATTTACATACACGTTTGTTTACCCATGTGTCAGCTTTTAACACAGTCGTTAACGTGTCGATTTCATGCCAACACACTTTTGTATCGTCAATATCGTCCATCAAAACATTTCATATTAGAGGGAATAAACAGTTGGATAGCTTGTCAATTTCATGTTATGTAAAAGTGCACAGCATGAGATACATTCCTCTCAGCGTGATTGACTCTTTGCCAATTTGATCGCCAGCTTCGATTCGATTGTAACATTCATGACGCGCCTCGAAATTGAGTAGAGGTACGATGCAGGTTGCACATGGATGCCAGACATTTCTGAAATTAAGATATTGCATGCATATAACTTACCAGTTGCAATTTTCCGTTCCGTAGGCATACTACTGAATGATACTGTTTTCTTTCGCTGAGGTCGCCTGTTGCCTGCATCCTTGTTCATGAGGCTGCTTCTCCTCGGCAACACGTTCTCCGGTAATTCAGAGTCACAGTCGGTATTTTGATCCTCACATTCTTCCAATTTGTCGTTTGAATCGCCATTCAAAAACACATCTTCTGGTTTCTCAGTTGGTATTTCCACCGGTTCCGTAGACTCTTGCACATCGTCCGCCATCTTTCGTGCTTTCTTGGACCATTCCAATTGTATTAATTAGGGTAGAAATGTCAAAATACACATGACTTTAAAACCTGGTTGATTCCAATCAGTTGATGTGATTATTATTAGTGTGACACACCCTGATTCTAACCTTGGCGTTTACGCCGTGCTGCGAGGTGTGGAATCGGTGGTGACAGCTCCAGCCAAATCGGCACCCCTATTTGAATAATGGACCTCGCCGACAGGGCCGCATTATGGGATAGCTAGCTGTTTTGAATATGGCCGCCTTACGTCTCACGATGATGGCTCCGGGGAGGCAACTTGTGTTAGTATTATAGACCAAAGACAACAGTCGTGCTGCAATGTTCATTTTATATGTTTGTATGATTATGAATTAAGTACAGAGTTGAATTATGGCCTGTGTTTATGTCACGTGATGTGCACGAGGCAGACGTCAAATCATTGACATGTCGCTCGTGTTTTCTTGAGTTGAAAGACGAGCACGAGAAGTTGACAAGCTGTCATGTCACTTTCACCGCATTGACTTCTGCCTTTGTATCGATGAATTCGACAAATAATCAGTCACATGTATGTTCGCGTGTAGGCGGTAATTTTCATTGAAGGGGAAATTAATTTCGCTTTGTTGAAAATATCGTCCAGCAGAAAAGAATCGGAACACATGACGAAAGTGTAAGATTTTAAAACAAAGACAAACACAGTTCGTGGCCTTCCATGAAATGTCGATGATGGAAAATCAAACAATGACAGTTCAATTAATACTCTGAAATGATGCGTAATTTTTAAAGACATTTTCTTGCATCTATGAATAGATTAAGCACCCGCAGCAATGCAGAAATACGTAGTTTTTCATGGTCAGGTTCACCGATAATATTGGAATATCAAAAACTTTCTATCACTTTGGCCTAGTTCTACCATCCATGTATGAAATTATAAATCGAAAACTACAATGATATGATTGCTCAATAATGTCTTAACTTTATGCTTATCATATGATGATGCAAGTTTTGACAAGCCATCTTCACTTTATGGGACTTAAACAATGTTTTACATGGTGGGTTCTGTGACATGATAGGTAGGCCTAGTTGAAACATGGGTTGTAATTTGACTTGAAATAGATAAAAACTGGTATATCTCATCAGGAATTTGCACTTTTGTGAAATATCATTTACATTTTGCTCGTCCTATCCATGAATGTTCATGACCAGTAGGTGATTGTGTTCTCCAATTCTGGAAATTATGACCTGATAAGATACAGATGTATAAAAAATAATGTGACTGTCAAATTGTTATTACAAATTTGTAGTGACTGCATTGCAAGTCCATGGGCAAATTAAATGCAGATGTTCATTTGTCTAGCAGTTGAACATCCTGGAACAGACATGGTATTTCCCCACTTTTGCAGAGATATATCAAACCATGTAGGCCTAGTTTTACATTTACATGATTGATTTAAAGTGTATGCAATGTTAAAATACTGTTAAATTTGGTAAAAGAAGGACCTTCTAAAGTATTTTTAATTTTGGCCGAAGTTTGCCAATCAAGGCACTAGGTTTCATATTATTTATAGTGAGTGAGTATGGTTTTACACTGCTTTCAGCAACGTACCAGCAATATCACAACAGGGACACCAGAAGTGAGCTTCACAAATTGTATCCATGTGGGGAATCGAACCCGGGTCTTTGGCATAACGAGCAAATGCTTTAACCACTACAAAAAGCCTGGTCTGATTCATACAGAATTGTAGTTTAGTATTCAATTTAATGTCTTGTATAGGAAATACCCTGTTTTCCAGCATGTCAGAGGTAGGTGGCCATCACAGCTGAAGAATGATCATGATACTTTACCAAATAATATTTAGCCAGCCGGCCTGAACTAAACTTTCCGTATCATTTTCAGTACTAGACTTTTAACTCGACATATAAATACTATTTACTCACTATTCACTGATAGAATTTAGAATTTTGTTGCATGTGATATTTGAAAATCAGTATGGTCAGTGGTATTTTGTGATTATCTTGCATTTTTTTAAGTTAATGGGGCACTTGAGGTCCTTGAAGTCTTTGCCTATGGTATTTCAATCAGGGACCCTCTCAAGCTTTACCTTAGGGTTGGGACAAGGACCCCTTGACTTTCTTGCTTCATTATTCACTGTCTTCTATGTTTAGACAGAGCTACAGATAAGAAGCATATTTGCGTAAAATACCTCCCAAAATATTCAAAACCCAAGTACTTTCAATGAATTTGCGTACAGAAACGCATGCATTAAATGAAAAACTCAAATGTTTAAAAACAGCATTCGTAAATACCCAATGAAAATTTTTCCGCATGCGTACAAAGGAACTCATTTCCAAAACACAATTATAATCTAATTTACTTTCCGAGTCAAGCCTGTTTATTTAGGAAAGTTATATACATCTAAAACATTATTTCGTTTTTTTCTAAATCTTAAAATGTTAACTATGTTAACAATAGAGTGATGAATAGATGAGAAAAAATATTGGTTACCCAATGAAAAATATAATAACCCAATTAAGATAGAAACCCTAGTGTAAAAAGCTCAATTGCTCAGAAAGTTATCTTGAGCTCTGTTTAGTATTACATAGTGGTTTCATTTCCATCTTTCCTAATTGAGATATAATACCTAGATTATTTAGATACTAACATTTCTCATAGGATATAGGAGGAACCTCAAACATCCCAGACACCCGTCTCCCTCACCACCCCCACTGATGCAGAATTTTGCAATTTTCTGCCGCGGAATCGGTCAACTGTGGCAGAATTTACAATGCGAATTAGAAGCTAGTCCTTAATATATACAAGTGGCAGTTCAATTTATGAATTAATTGTTTTTGTAATCCCATGTTAGAAGGACCAAAAATAATTATTTGAAGTATTTGTGTTATTTTAGAATAATTAAAGAACTTTCAACGTTTGTGTTCTGATTATGGGAGGCACATGTGTTACAGTTTCATTCTGTGACTGTCAGTTTAAGAATCATGGATAAAGTTCTCCTAGCTTCAAGTTTAATTCATTAAAATAGCTCAAGAGATTGCAGAACTTTGTGCAGAATTCATGAACATTGGTTGCAGAAGCTATCAGAAATGACTGCGGAATGTTGGAGTTTTGGCCATGGAATTCAGTAGGGACTGATATGTATGCTGTTGTCTTTCTTGTAGACATGAGCCAACTGCTGAGTGAAACTCTGCAAGTATGGATGTTTGCAGACATCTGAATTCCGTCCGCTTGGCACTCAACCACTCCATTCTCAACCCAGAGAAGTGGCTTTGTGCCATGTGTGGAACCACAGAGTCAGTCTGGGTAAGTATATAGTGTATACCTGGGTGTTAGTGTATGATGTAGGGTACCTTGGTCTGGCTATGTGATATAGTGTACCTGGGTCTGACTGTGTGATATATGGTACCTGGGTCTGACTATGTGATATAGTGTACCTGGGTCTGACTGTGTGATATATGGTACCTGGGTCTGACTGTATGATATAGTTGAACTGGGTCTGACTATGATATAGGGTACCTGGGTCTGACTGTATGATATAGTGTACCTTGGTGTGACTGTATGATATAGTGTACCTGGGTCTGACTGTATGATATAGTGTACCTGGGTCTGACTGTATGATATAGTGTACCTGGGTGTGACTGTGTGATATAGTGTACCTGGGTCTGACTGTGTGATATATGGTACCTGGGTCTGACTGTATGATATAGTTGAACTGGGTCTGACTATGATATAGGGTACCTGGGTCTGACTGTATGATATAGTGTACCTTGGTGTGACTGTATGATATAGGGTACCTGGGTCTGACTGTATGATATAGTGTACCTGGGTGTGACTGTGTGATATAGTGTACCTGGGTCTGACTGTATGATATAGGGTACCTGGGTCTGACTGTATGATATAGGGTACCTGGGTCTGACTGTATGATATAGTGTACCTGGGTGTGACTGTGTGATATAGTGTACCTGGGTCTGACTGTGTGATATATGGTACCTGGGTCTGACTGTATGATATAGTTGAACTGGGTCTGACTGTATGATATAGGGTACCTGGGTCTGACTGTATGATATAGTGGAACTGGGTCTGACTGTATGATATAGGGTACCTGGGTCTGACTGTGTGATATAGGGATACATGGGACTGACTGTATGATATACGGTACCTGGGTGTGACTGTATGATATAGGGTACCTGGGTCTGACTGTATGATATACGGTACCTGGGTGTGACTGTATGATATAGGGTACCTGGGTCTGACTGTATGATATACGGTACCTGGGACTGACTGTATGATATACGGTACCTGGGTGTGACCGTGTGATATTGGGTACCTGGGACTGACGGTATTTATAGGTACCTGGGTGTGTGTATTGGGGACCAGGGTCTGACTGTATAAAGGATACCTGGGTTTTAAAGTACTCATGGAAATAAAAAAAACCTGTTTTGCTGGATTTAATAATCGACACAAAGCATTACGTAGATGTAAATATGAAATAACAAAACAACTGGAAAAGTACTAGTCTGGATTTGCTAGTTTTATCTCATTGCTCAATACAAAATGTACTTTACAGGAGGTAATTTGTAGGCACTTTCAACATTCAAAAATAAAACTAAGTCCAAATTGACATGGCAGAAATAGGCTATAGCCATTATGCAAATTAGCCTGGAATAATAATGACATGTAAGTTGTTGTTTGAGAGGGGAATATGTTACTTTTACGTTCTGATATACTACTCAAAAAAAGTTAAGGATCACCTGATTCTTTCATATTAAAATAGTTAATAAAATGACAGATTAACATTACCAATATGAAAGAATCGGGTGATCCTTAACTTCTTTTGAGTAGTATATTTTAACGATGATTCACTATCCCACAATGCCGCTCACAAATCTCTAACCACTGACAAATCACAAGCACGTGGGTTTCAAGCACCTGTTTTCACCTGTTGTCAAGGTGTCATAGGTCATGGACATTCACCTTGATCTACTAACACCTGGTTATGCTCAGTTTCAAAATACTGTATTCGACGTAATAAGCGCCCAGGGCACTCCCCCTATTAGAAATAGGGGGCTCTTATTAGAAAATTATTTTGGTGAAAAAAACAGTTTAAAGATAAATTTCGAGGTTTATGCTGACAGCCTGAATGTTCATGTATGACAGATATATTTTTCCAGAATTTATTTGCCCATAATAAAGGTTGCATATAACGCGAGTGCGTATCATACGCGAATAAATAAGTCTTGTGTACATTGATCAACCGAAAGGGGTGCTAATTGGGATTGTTCACTAGCCACTATATTAGCAAACATCGCCGTGGGCGCTTATTAGAGCGGGGCGCTTATTACGTCGAATACGCTAGTCTGTTTTGTTCATATTTTTACACACTTTTACGTGTAAAAAGACATAAAAAACCTTTGATACACTGTATTTGTGCCAAGGCCCAATTAGTACTAATTGAGTTGTTTGAATATTTATATATTTTGTATATTAACTGCATTTATTTAAAATCTGAGATTGAAAAAAACAGGGTTTTTTCATTTCCGTGAGTACTTTAGCAATATGTTTTATATGATAACATCTCTCCTCCAGGCATGCCTGAGTTGCTCCAATGTGGCCTGCGGACGCTTCAACGAGGAACATGCCCTCACCCACTTCAAGGACACAAATGTGAGTCAAGCGTGAAACACAGACTTCATGTCAGGGTTTTACACGACACAGATATGTGTGCGTTCAGTGCGCACACATGTATATAGAATGGAAGCAGATTTTTTTTATTGCATCATTGTACCAACTTTTTACAACAAATATAAAGTTCCTGTAATTATTAAATCTAACATAACAGTGCATTACTCCATTTCATCACGTTACAGGATAAGTTTCTTAAAACAAATTTCTATCTAGTCAGTCTACCATGTCTACTGTTTCTAAGATGTGATTGTAAAAACTTGAAAATATTGAAACTTAAATTATGAACGTTTCAGCATCCCATTGCTATGGAAGTGAATGACAGATATGTCTACTGGTGAGTACTTGTACCTTGAAGCATTGGTTAAGTAAGGCAGCCTTTCTCAGTGTTGCCTAGTGTTTCAAACACTGGCTTTGTAGATGGTTATGTTGGTGTTTTTACAAGCACTTCCTGTAGAGCTGATTTTAAAGTCAGCATTGGCTCGTCTCACTGAAGACAGGTTTAAAGAAGATATGAAAAGAAAATAGAAGTAATATTAGCCTTTACATGCATTATAAGCTATTGGAGTTTGACCCTAGCACCATATATACTAAACAGAAGAAGTTAAATAATTCTTGGTTATATTATGTTTCTCCAGTTAATCTGTCATGTTAAACTAGGGATGAATTATTTGTCATGCCATGACAGATTTACTGTAGTAATATTAAAGAATCGGGTGTTCTTAAATTTCTCTTGAGAAGCATACAGCTTTTTTTTATTTAGTTGAGAAAAATTTCTCACCTGTCACAAACATTTCAGCTATGCCTGTGACGAGTATGTAATGAATGACAACTCAGACGGGATCATCACTCTGCTCCGGTCAGCGCTCAGTGCCATTGAAACACAGTCATTTGACAACATCGAAACACAAGGGCAGAGACTGCTGCGATCTTATTCTTACTCCGGAATTGAATCAAGGTGAGTAAGGACATTGTAGCCACAGGGATGAAAATCTCTTTCAGATGTTAGCATGTTTGGAGTCAGCTTTGTTGTTTCGGTGCAATTGTATTAAATCCAATACCCCCCAAACTGTGTCATCAATTTGGTTGGATCATTGAAGTATAATAAAAAAATGTATATATATATATCCTGGGGAAACTATGGTAACCCACCATTACTAAGTGGGTGTTCTCACAACCAGAACAACATGTTTTTTCTGTAACTAAGCCCATTGTTTTGACAGAGATCTGATTAATTTACACATAACTTATCCCTTTGTAGATTCTAGGCAAGAAATATGTCCCCAGAAACCTATCATATTCACTTTTAAAAGGATTTGTTTATTTTTTGTTTGATGATAAAATTATTTCCTGACAATTTGTGTAAATTATTTATGACAGACTAAATCACATGCATCATCACTGGCCCAGTTTTGGAAATTTAGTTGCTTACTTTCAACACGGACTGCATCACATTCACCGGTGTGCATTGTTCCTTCATGAAAGACAGTCATGCTTGATTGCAAGAAACATGGGTCAGGGCATTAATCAGCACCGACTGCTACCGTCAACTCAGAAACTTTCACCCAAACAACTTCAGTTTTCCTGAATACCTACAGTTCTGCAGCTGCAAATCAGTACTGCCATAATTGTTAATTACTATTTTCCATATGAAATGTTTTGCAGTTTCACACAGATTTCTGCCATTTACTTTTCAATCGTGGAATCTTTGAGACACTGATATTCATGTCATTCTTTTGCAGAACACATGCGGATGAAAATGATAAACTAGCGACAGCAGATTGCCATTACAGGTAAGCCTTTCATGGTGATTACAGTGATTGGCTCACATCAAAATTATCATCCATGTGAACATAAGTCTTTGTTGTCCGTCCCAAATCTTGGTGGCCACTGAACTTAAAATCTCTTGAAAAGATCTACTGAACATATCAACGTCATTTTCACATAACATGTTTCTTGATATCTGAAGTAAGGTTTTCATTTTTGAAAAATTCAAAATAGCTGTTAAACCTCATTTGCCCACTCGCTATGTAAAACTAATCTTTGTATACTGCTTGGGTAAACTGCTAGGGGAGAAACCATACAGCACGATCACAATGCGATGTGTATCACGATACATAGGTCACAATACAGTACATATTGCGATACACATATTTACATCAAATCACATAATCATTGTATACTGCTTGGGTAAACTGCTAGGAGTGAAATGATACAGCAAGGTTACAATATGATACATAGGTCATAATATGATATGTACCGTGATATGTATATTTACGTCAAATCACGTAGAAACGTCTTGACTATAAATAGTTCAGAGCAGGTTAGAAGTGTACTTGAAAAGCTAGATACAACACATTTTGCAATATTTGACAGACAAAAAGGCAAGGGTGGAGTTCTGGGTCATTATAACGAATAGTAACTTACTAAGTAACTTATTGTAGAATTGCCCTTTATTGATACTGAAAAAAACGTATCGTGTATTGTATCATCTCATGAAAATACATGATGCACCATGCACCAATGTATTGTTTCACCCCTAATAACTGCTAACAATTTCTTGAAATGGCCTAAGATATTTTCTTTTGTGGTGATCTGACAAAAGTGTCATGGTAGAACATCAATCTGGTAAGTCGATGTTTGAAGTGGTTGATCTGCCTGATTGAATAACTGCATGGTTTTACCTTGACTTGAAAAAGGGGGGTCCAAGAGACTCCCAATAATTAATATTAAGGGTCCTTGTAGGCAATATGAGGATCCTATGAAGTAATGAAATGGTGTAGTGTACTGTACATTTAAATAATTACTTTGGAGATTGGAATAGATCGGTGATGATGTAGACAGTGGTCATTATTGATAGATGAAATAACAGACACCCATAACTGCTGTTGACATGGTTGATGCACTGTAGCTACATTGAATATTATGGTGCATCCCTCAGGATGCTGTACTTTCTCTGTGTCCATTCTCTATTTGTGCGTACTGGATGCACTTTTGTGCATCGCTATACCCTGAACTGTAAGGGGTTTGGCTAACCTACTATTAATGTTGTCTATGTTCTATTTACAGGAAAACGTTGATGAGAACAGTATTTGTGAAATGGCACATGTTGATATGGCAGAAACACATGGCAGCAGTAAGTATTGACTTCAATATGTGCATGAGTAGCCTTGTGGGGTAGCCTAGAGGTTAAAGCATTCGCTCGTCACGCCAAAGACCCAGGTTAAATTCCCTGTTTGGGTACAATGTGTAAAGCTCATTTCTGGTGTCCCTCGCCTTGAAACTCACTCACTCACTCACCCCAATTGTCTTTAATCTTTCAGACAAGGGGGTCCAAGTTTTTTTAATTGTTTTGAATATTTGTTTGTCCCCTGGGTTTCATCAGATGTCCCCAATTCTTAGAAAGGCAGGGGTCATTGGGCTCCACTTTTCCAGAGCCAGAAATGAACACTGATGACATTTTGAAACAAAGTGGCTGAGTAACGCCCTGTTTAGGACTCTTGGTCCTTCAACAGCTTGCTCCTGGGTCATAAACTATCTTTGACACTTTATTATTCCCTGCCACAAAGTGGACGGGGTTATAGGAACGGAGATCGTCCTTCCATCCATTGGCTTCTCAAAGGGGATACATTTTCTCAAAAACTATTTAAGTCAGCAAAATCAAATTTTACACACTGATTTAATTGGTCATGACCTCAAGTGAATTCGAAAATTGGTGTTGCAAATTCATTTTTACAGAGTTATGGCCCTTGCTCCGTGCTTTTCAACTTAGTGCATACTGCGTGAAATGGGGACAAGTATACTCAGAAGCTTTTGAAGTTACATGAATTAAACTTTGCATGTTTATCTGAAAGATACTTGTCAAGACTGAGTTGAAAATTTGTCCCGTCAATTATTTCTTTTACAGAGTTACGGCCCTTGATCCATGTTATCTTACCAGGTGCACAATGTCTGCAGTGGGGACATGTTTTCTCAGAAACTACTGAAGTTAGCTTAAATTAGAGATACTTGTCAAGACTGAGTTATTTTTTTCAGAGAAGGCGGCTTTTGTATGTATTAATTTCACGTTTAATCATTTTTTTCTGATGACATAAACATGATAAAGTGGCCCAAGCGCTTATCTCTTCTTAAGGCTTTATAGGATTCTTTTTAATAGTTTATGTTCTCTACCATATGAACAAACAAGAATCTAATGAGCCCAATCGTGTTCTTTCCTGCTATACAGTGTTTCAAATAATTTTGAAACCCAACAAGACTGTTGGGCAGGTGACCCATAAATGTTGCCTGCCTTGCATTCAGTGCAATATGAATATGGGAAGTCACGAAAAATAAGAGACAAATCGCATCGTGATTAAGTTGAAATAATGCAAAGAATTACATCAGAATATACAAGAAGTTATAATAAAACTGAATATGTAAGCAGTCTTAACATTATCTGCCAGTCGGGCAGGCGGGCAGGCGGGCAGGCAGGCACTTACTTCAGACACTGCTGCTATATTAACTTCATAAATATATTACTGAAATACAATCCCTGAATATCTTTCCTTGTGTGAGTCCAGCCAAGTCCATGCATGTGACCTGTTGCTTCCAGGGAGTAGAGACTCCTGCCAAGAAGGCGAGAACTGATGGCACCTCCCCCTCCCCCTCCACAAGTACCACCGCCTCCCCTGTCTCACCCACCTCACCCAGCCTCAGGAAGCGGACCCTCATCCCAGGGGTGACCGGACTCCGAAACCTTGGCAACACCTGCTACATGAACTCCATACTACAGGCTCTTGGGTCAGTACAATCCACCTTCAACACCATCATACTCGGTCAGTATAAACCATCTACAAGAACTCCATGCTGAAGTCAGTACAAACCACCCTCAACAACACCACACTACACATACTATAGTCAATATAAACCCTCTACTGTAACTCCATGCTACAGTCTCTGGGGTCAGTACAATCCACCATACTACAGTGAGTATAAACCTCCTACAACTCAATACAACATAGACTACAGCATGGTTTTATCGTGACCTCAAAAACCAGGGGTACAGGGACCCCCAATAATAAGTTTTGAGGGTCCCACAGGAAATATGAGGGTCCTGTAATGAAATGGTGTAGTATACTGTTCTGTAAGATTTGATAATTACATCAATTATGGGATCTTTGTGTCTTGTCAAGAATTTAGTAAAATGAATGTTATTATGCATCCCTTTAGATGCACATATATTTTTTCTGGGGCCATTCCGTACATTTGTGTGTACTGGATGCACATTTCTGCTACCCTGCTACAGTCGGTATAATAAACCACCTACAACTCTTTACGTCAGTCTGTATAAACCAACTAAAGCAAACTACATACCACATGGAGGCATGGATGGCCAAGTTGTCTCAGATGCTGCATTTCACTTTGCAGAGTTGCGTTCCTGGGCCCACTTGCACAAAGCGATCTTAGTGCTAAGATGATCGTAACTCCCATACTTTAGCATAGGCTTACAATAGTCGTAGCACTAAGATTGCTTTGTGCAAGTGGGCCCTGGTGTACAGAGTTGCACACCATAAACCGATGGTTAACCCCAAGTATGTCTCCAGGTTTGTCAGCATCATACCCATGTTTTTGGTTTTCACCAAAGAGGCATCACTTCAGGGTTTCCTCCCACACCAAGCTGACACGCCATGACATAACTGTAATACTGTTCAAAGCAGTTTTAGACCTAAATAGTCACTCACTTGCTCCCATACTACACATACCCCAGTCAGTATAAAGCACCATGATGTTACAGGCATATAGAAGACCTGCGTAGGTTCTTCCTGCACCTCAGCTTCCACAATGGCTTCAGCCCCCCTGTCACCCCCCAGCGAGACATGTCCCCTGTCAGAATGATACCGTCCTCCATCCCTGTCCGCTCATCAAACAGGGTACTGAAGAGGCTGGACACCCTGGAATGTTTCAAGGTAAGGGATCAACCAACTGGGTTCAAGGTCAATGACTGTCTGGGGTCAAGGTCAATGACCGACCACCTGGGGTCAAAGGGGGGGGGGGCACTGATATTAGCATAATTCGTGAGTCAGGTGAGTTTTATTTTTTATTTTTTTTAAGGAAAATTCTATTTTAATCACACAATAAAATAGTCATAGCTTTCAGCGCAACATGAATATGATATCAAATTACACCTTCATTTATTGTCCCATATTGTCTTCCAAGACATCCAGTTTGGTTGTTGTGGGAGCAGACTATGTTATTCATAGTGTGGTGACGTCAGGTCTTTTCACAGCTGTCTGTACACATAGAAATATGTCACCAAAAATTACTGATGTCTCATGTGCGTTACCGTGGGATTACAGGAGAATTAACCTTTGAGTATGAAAATCCCAAACCCAATGGCTCTTTTTCTCTATCAGAATTTTGTTTGGCAAATGTATGTTGTATGACTACCATTTTATTTATTTTGATATTTTAATTAAGTCATTATGAGCAAGTTATGTTTATGTATCCTTGCAGCACCTGAACACCCCCTCGGCCGTTTCAACCCCCAAGTTTCGTCACAAAGAGGGGGGTCTGAGTGGAGGGGGGACACACGTCTCGTCCGTGGAGGTTCAGCCTGCTGGCGCCTTGCCCCTTGAGGAGGATGAGGAACACATGTGAGGACTTTGCATTCTCTGGTTCAATGTCGTAGTTTCCTTTGGGATTCCAGGTTAGAATTAGTCCTCAGCAACTTCTGCTTGCTGAGGGTTAGGGGTTCCATCCCTGGCTGCGTCATAGCAAAAGACATTATAAGATGGTAGTTGTTGTTTCCCTTCCTGGTGCTCAGCATCTAGGGGATAAAACAATGACTAGTTGGTTCGGAGTTGGTATGCTGTGCCTGAGTAAGGTATTCTTGTTAATCTGCGGCATGGTATCTCAGTTGGCTAGCGCTCTAAACTGCAGCATGTTGCTGTAGAAGTGGAATAATCATGCACCCAAACATAAGCTCCATTTCACCACACCTCACTGTCTGTTCCCCATGTGTCTCACTGTCTGTTCGACCTGTGAAGATCCGTGGTAGAATAGGTCTTCAGCAAACAATGCTTGACGTAAAAGGCGACTCTGCTTGTTGTAAGAGGCTACTAACGAGATCAGGTTGTCAAGCTCGCTAACTTGGTTGATGCATATCATCGTATCCCAAATATGTGGATCGATGCTCATGATGTCAAACTCAGGATTTTCTGGTCCAGAATCGATTAATTACAGACCGCTGAAATTTTGCTGAGTGTGGCATTAAACAACAAACACTGTCTGTTTCCCAGTGTCTCTCTGTCTGTTCCCCTTGACTCGCTGTCTGTTCCCCTGTGTCTCACTGTCTGTTCCTCTGTGTCTCACTGTCTGTTCCCCTTGATTCGCTGTCTGTTCCCCTGTGTCTCACTGTCTGTTCCCCTGTGTCTCACTGTCTGTTCCCCTGTGTCTCACTGTCTGTTCCCCTATGTCTCACTGTCTGTTCCCCTTGACTCGCTATCTGTTCCCCTGTGACTCGCTGCCTGTTCCCCTGTGTCTCACTGTCTGTTCCCCTGTGTCTCGCTGTCTGTTCCCGTGTCTCGCTGTCTGTTCCCCTTGATTCGCTGTCTGTTCCCCTGTGTCTCACTGTCTGTTCCCCTGTGTCTCGCTGTCTGTTCCCCTGTGTCTCACTGTCTGTTCCCCATGTGTCTCACTGTCTGTTCCCCTGTCTCACTGTCTGTTCCCCTGTGTCTCACTGTCTGTTCCCCATGTGTCCCACTATCTGTTCCCCTTGACTCGCTGTCTGTTCCCCTGTGTCTCACTGTCTGTTCCCCTTGACTCGCTATCTGTTCCCCTGTGACTCGCTGCCTGTTCCTCTGTGTCTCACTGTCTGTTCCCCTTGACTCGCTGTCTGTTCCCCTGTGTCTCACTGTCTGTTCCCCTGTGTCTCACTGTCTGTTCCCCTGTGTCTCACTGTCTGTTCCCGTGTCTCGCTGTCTGTTCCCCTGTGTCTCACTGTCTGTTCCCGTGTCTCACTGTCTGTTCCCCTGTGTCTCGCTGCCTGTTCCCCTTGACTCGCTGCCTGATCCCCCGTGTCTCGCTGTCTGTTCCCCTTGACTCGCTGTCTGTTCCCCTTGACTCGCTGTCTGTTCCCCTGTGTCTCGCTGTCTGTTCCCCTGTGTCTCAATGTCTGTTCCCCTGTGTCTCGCTGTCTGTTCCCCTGTGTCTCGCTGTCTGTTCCCCTGCGTCTCACTGTCTGTTCCCCATGTGTATCATTGTCTGTTCCCCATGTGTCTCACTGTCTGTTCCCCTGTGTCTCACTGTCTGTTCCCCTGTGTCTCACTGTCTGTTCCCCATGTGTCTCGTCTGTTCCCCTGTCTCACTGTCTGTTCCCCTGTGTCTCACTGTCTGTTCCCCTGTGTCTCACTGTCTCTTCCATGTGTCTCGCTGTCTGTTCCCCTGTGTCTCACTGTCTGTTCCCCAGTGTCTCACTGTCTGTTCCATGTGTCTCGCTGTCTGTTCCCCAGTGTCTCACTGTCTGTTCCCCTGTGTCTCGCTGTCTGTTCCCCTGTGTCTCACTGTCTGTTCCCCAGTGTCTCACTGTCTGTTCCCCTTCACTCGCTGCCTGTTCCCCAGTGTCTCACTGTCTGTTCCCCTGTGTCTCACTGTCTGTTCCATGTGTCTCTCTGTCTGTTCCATGTGTCTCGCTGCCTGTTCCCCAGTGTCTCACTGTCTGTTCCCCTGTGTCTCGCTGTCTGTTCCCCTGTGTCTCACTGTCTGTTCCCCTGTGTCTCGCTGTCTGTTCCCCTGTGTCTCGCTGTCTGTTCCCCTGTCTCGCTGTCTGTTCCCCTTGACTCGCTGTCTGATCCCCTTGACTCGCTGGCTGTTCCCCTTGACTCGCTGTCTGTTCCCCTGTGTCTCGCTGTCTGTTCCCCTTGACTCGCTGTCTGTTCCCCTTGACTCGCTGTCTGTTCCCCTGTGTCTCGCTGTCTGTTCCCCTTGACCCGCTGCCTGTTCCCCTGCGTCTCACTGTCTGTTCCCCTGTGTCTCGCTGTCTGTTCCCCTGTGTCTCACTGTCTGTTCCCCATGTGTCTCACTGTCTGTTCCCCTGTCTCACTGTCTGTTCCCCTGTGTCTTACTGTCTGTTCCCCATGTGTCTCACTATCTGCTCCCCTTGACTCGCTGTCTGTTCCCCTGTGTCTCACTGTCTGTTCCCCTGTGTCTCACTGTCTGTTCCCCTTGACTCGCTATCTGTTCCCCTGTGACTCGCTGCCTGTTCCCCTGTGTCTCACTGTCTGTTCCCCTGTGTCTCGCTGTCTGTTCCCCTGTGTCTCGCTGTCTGTTCCCCTTGATTCGCTGTCTGTTCCCCTGTGTCTCACTGTCTGTTCCCCTGTGTCTCACTGTCTGTTCCCCATGTGTCTCACTGTCTGTTCCCCTGTCTCACTGTCTGTTCCCCTGTGTCTCACTGTCTGTTCCCCATGTGTCCCACTATCTGTTCCCCTTGACTCGCTGTCTGTTCCCCTGTGTCTCACTGTCTGTTCCCCTTGACTCGCTATCTGTTCCCCTGTGACTCGCTGCCTGTTCCTCTGTGTCTCACTGTCTGTTCCCCTTGACTCGCTGTCTGTTCCCCTGTGTCTCACTGTCTGTTCCCCTGTGTCTCACTGTCTGTTCCCCTGTGTCTCACTGTCTGTTCCCGTGTCTCGCTGTCTGTTCCCCTGTGTCTCACTGTCTGTTCCCGTGTCTCACTGTCTGTTCCCCTGTGTCTCGCTGCCTGTTCCCCTTGACTCGCTGCCTGATCCCCCGTGTCTCGCTGTCTGTTCCCCTTGACTCGCTGTCTGTTCCCCTTGACTCGCTGTCTGTTCCCCTGTGTCTCGCTGTCTGTTCCCCTGTGTCTCAATGTCTGTTCCCCTGTGTCTCGCTGTCTGTTCCCCTGTGTCTCGCTGTCTGTTCCCCTGCGTCTCACTGTCTGTTCCCCATGTGTATCATTGTCTGTTCCCCATGTGTCTCACTGTCTGTTCCCCTGTGTCTCACTGTCTGTTCCCCTGTGTCTCACTGTCTGTTCCCCATGTGTCTCGTCTGTTCCCCTGTCTCACTGTCTGTTCCCCTGTGTCTCACTGTCTGTTCCCCTGTGTCTCACTGTCTCTTCCATGTGTCTCGCTGTCTGTTCCCCTGTGTCTCACTGTCTGTTCCCCAGTGTCTCACTGTCTGTTCCATGTGTCTCGCTGTCTGTTCCCCAGTGTCTCACTGTCTGTTCCCCTGTGTCTCGCTGTCTGTTCCCCTGTGTCTCACTGTCTGTTCCCCAGTGTCTCACTGTCTGTTCCCCTTCACTCGCTGCCTGTTCCCCAGTGTCTCACTGTCTGTTCCCCTGTGTCTCACTGTCTGTTCCATGTGTCTCGCTGTCTGTTCCATGTGTCTCTCTGCCTGTTCCCCAGTGTCTCACTGTCTGTTCCCCTGTGTCTCGCTGTCTGTTCCCCTGTGTCTCACTGTCTGTTCCCCTGTGTCTCGCTGTCTGTTCCCCTGTGTCTCGCTGTCTGTTCCCCTGTCTCGCTGTCTGTTCCCCTTGACTCGCTGTCTGATCCCCTTGACTCGCTGGCTGTTCCCCTTGACTCGCTGTCTGTTCCCCTGTGTCTCGCTGTCTGTTCCCCTTGACTCGCTGTCTGTTCCCCTTGACTCGCTGTCTGTTCCCCTGTGTCTCGCTGTCTGTTCCCCTTGACCCGCTGCCTGTTCCCCTGCGTCTCACTGTCTGTTCCCCTGTGTCTCGCTGTCTGTTCCCCTGTGTCTCACTGTCTGTTCCCCATGTGTCTCACTGTCTGTTCCCCTGTCTCACTGTCTGTTCCCCTGTGTCTTACTGTCTGTTCCCCATGTGTCTCACTATCTGCTCCCCTTGACTCGCTGTCTGTTCCCCTGTGTCTCACTGTCTGTTCCCCTGTGTCTCACTGTCTGTTCCCCTTGACTCGCTATCTGTTCCCCTGTGACTCGCTGCCTGTTCCCCTGTGTCTCACTGTCTGTTCCCCTGTGTCTCGCTGTCTGTTCCCCTGTGTCTCGCTGTCTGTTCCCCTTGATTCGCTGTCTGTTCCCCTGTGTCTCACTGTCTGTTCCCCAGTGTCTCACTGTCTGTTCCCCTTCACTCGCTGCCTGTTCCCCAGTGTCTCACTGTCTGTTCCCCTGTGTCTCACTGTCTGTTCCCCTGTGTCTCACTGTCTGTTCCCCTGTCTCGCTGTCTGTTCCCCTGTGTCTCGCTGTCTGTTCCCCTTGACTCGCTGTCTGTTCCCCTGTGTCTCGCTGTCTGTTCCCCTTGACTCGCTGTCTGTTCCCCTGTGTCTCACTGTCTGTTCCCCTGTCTCACTGTCTGTTCCCCTTGACTCGCTGTCTGTTCCCATGTGTCTCACTGTCTGTTCCGCTGTGTCTCACTGTCTGTTCCCCTGTGTCTCGCTGTCTGTTCCCCTTGACTCGCTGTCTGTTCCCCTTGACTCACTGTCTGTTCCCCTGTCTCACTGTCTGTTCCATGTGTTCTGCTGTCTGTTCCCCTGTGTCTCACTGTCTGTTCCCCATGTGTCTCACTGTCTGTTCCCCTTTGACTCGCTGCCTGTTCCCCAGTGTCTCACTGTCTGTTCCCCTGTGTCTCGCTGTCTGTTCCCCTGTGTCTCACTGTCTGTTCCCCATGTGTCTCACTGTCTGTTCCCCTGTCTCACTGTCTGTTCCCCTGTGTCTTGCTGCCTGTTCCCCTGTGTCTCGCTGTCTGTTCCCCTGTGTCTCGCTGTCTGTTCCCATGTGTCTCACTGTCTGTTCCCGTGTCTCGCTGTCTGTTCCCCTGTGTCTCACTGTCTGTTCCCCAGTGTCTCACTGTCTGTTCCCCTTGACTCGCTGCCTGTTCCCCAGTGTCTCACTGTCTGTTCCCCTGTGTCTTGCTGTCTGTTCCCCTGTCTCACTGTCTGTTCCCCTGTGTCTCGCTGTCTGTTCCCCATGTGTCTCGCTGTCTGTTCCCCTGTGTCTTGCTGTCTGTTCCCATGTGTCTCACTGTCTGTTCCCCTGTGTCTCGCTGTCTGTTCCCCATGTGTCTCGCTGTCTGTTCCCCTGTGTCTCGCTGTCTGTTCCCATGTGTCTCACTGTCTGTTCCCCTTGACTCGCTGTCTGTTCCCATGTGTCTCACTGTCTGTTGCCCATGTGTCTCACTGTCTGTTCCCTGTTTCCAGTTCCCTCAGCCAGGAGTTGCATGGCCTGCTACGGGTGCTGTGGTCAGGGAAGTGGGCCCAGGTCAGTCCCCATGCCTTCCTGCAGGCTGTGTGGAGCAAGATACCCGCCTTCAAGGGACACTCGCAGCATGATGCACAGGAGTTTCTCTGGTAAGATGTCACCCTATGCTTCTTTATTTAGTTAGGATACTTCTTTGGGAGACATGTTTAAAGTTTAGTGATCAAGTTTAGAATACTCTCAAATATTTGCCATCAGAATAAGTTTGTAATGGAATAACCACTTGATTTGCATGCATTGTTTGCACTTAAGCATGAAAGTCAATGCATCCTTGTCGTATCCCTATCAAAATTCAAGATTTAGGTGATCTCAGGATTCAAATACTGTAGCAGAAAATCTCAAGGACATCGACACTCCACTGAATTTCTAACACTTGCATATCAAACTGTACGAATAGCTCCATATGAGTATGGAGCATGTGATATAATTATGGCATGTTGATTTGCTGCTGCAGTGAGCTGGTGGAGAAGGTGGAGAGTGAGGCATCCACGGTGCCGCAGTGCGAGGAGAAGCCCAACATGATGGCAGAACTGTTCCAGGGGGAGCTGACCAGTCAGGTCAAGTGTCTAGCCTGCAGGAATGTCTCCTCCCGCCATGAACCCTTCATGGATCTGTCACTCGAGTTTCCTGAGAGGTATCAGTTCACCTCAACCAACAAGAAGGTTGCCAATGATGTCTGCCAGCTTACCGGTTTGTTTGCTTGTTTGCTTGTTGTTTTTCTCTGTTTTCAAGAGTACTCCAGCTATAATAATGACAGCCTGTAAATAATTGAATTTCGACCACACAAATCAGTTATTGATAGAAGCAGTGATCCACAGCATCGTGGTACATTGACACTCTATCAACCAATGTCACCAATCCATCAAGTCTCCTTGTATGACAAGCATAGGTTGCTGGGGACCAGTTCTAACTATAACTCCCCACAGGGTCCAGCTTTTGGGAACCATGTGTAGGAATGTTAATCCTATTGTTATGCTGATGATGCATGGAAAAGAAAACAAGAGAAATAAATTTCACAAATTTTGCTTGCTCTTACAATAAATGGAAAAGAATGAAGTTCCACGTTTAACACTTTTTCATTTCCATAGCCGATGATCTGTGATTCTTCATGTAACTTGGAGATACTATGAAAACTTTCTGAAATTTGAAATATGTCTCTAGATAAAGAATGTCACAAGAAAAAAGTATCCATCTGACTTCAATATGTAAAAGTTCAGGTTGTACTTTGTTCAGATAAATGAGACTGAATTGGCCTCTACATTGGCTAATGCACCTGATCAGACCAGAATATAATGTGAGTGGCTTGTAAAAACATAATAGGACCATCAGATAACATGTACAGATTTGTTTTGCAGCGCTTTGTCTGGCTTTTGCAACTGAAGGGGGTTTGGGTTTATTTTTTTATTCAGTGATGTTATAAATATGTTTGTTTCAGAAATGTTGGACAAGTTCACAGAAACTGAAACCCTGGAAAGTCAGACGTACAGCTGTGACAGGTGTAATAGTAAGTTTACCAAAAGACATTAAAAGATGGTACTCCTTGTTGCCCTGCCTGGTACTCGGCATTAACAGGTTGAAACCATAACTGGTGGGCTTGGTGTTCATATACTGTGTGTGATTGGGGTATCCATGTTAAACTGTGACATGGTTTCTCAGTGGGCTGGGGTGATGGGGTAGCCTAGTGGTTAAAGCGTTCGCTCATCACGCTGAAGGCCCAGGTTCGATTCCTCACATGATTACAATGTGTGAAGCTCATTTCTGGTGTTCCACCGTGATATTGCTGGAATATTGCTAAAAGCGGCGTAAAATCAAACTCACTCACTCAGTTCTCTGTATGCTGGATTTGAGGTAATATTGACGGACTAAGTCTAATTTCTCAACTAAAAAGCCTTGAATTTTAGTGTTCCATATCTGTATGAACCTTTTCAACACTGCAAGCTTCATACACATACCAAGGGATATTGCTATGGAAACACCTGTTTGCTGTTGGGGAATGGGTGGCTCAGTCATCAAAGGTGCCGCAGTTCACTGTCCACAGTTGCATCCCTTGGGCATGCCAGAAACATGATTGTTTGTTCCCATATTTGTCAGCACCAGAACTCCTGCTTGTGACCTTCACTGTGATAAACATGCATCACTTCAGGCTTTCCCCCCTCATTAAACTGACACGCTGTGGTACAGCTCAAATGCTGTTCCCACACAGTTGCTGTGTTACATCATAGAAGACAGTCAACTCTCTCCTTTCATGAGATCATTGTATGTTGGGGAAATAATTACTTATTTGAGTAATTATTGAGGGAAATATATTAGATTAAACATGTCCAAAATTGGATTTTTAGTGTAGTCTACAGGTAAATGCTTATAAAAAGAGGTAATGTGAAGATATTTTTCTTTGTCCATGTTGTCAGAGATGTATATTCTCAGTATGTGTCATAGATATATATTTTTGTCCTTTTTGCACCCTTCACATGTGGATGTATGACACTGCAACAAGCAATGACAGCAATGTTTGTGATGCAGGTAGACGGCGATTGCCAAAGTCAAAGATCTACACTGATGCCCAGAAGCGGTTTGTGGTGAACAAACTTCCCCCTGTGCTACGACTTCATCTGAAGAGATTCAGGTGCGTGCCAATGTGAATACCATCTCACCCAGTGCTTCAGAATCGTTTACATGGAGCTTTCATCTCAGTAGGGGGGGGGGGGGGGGGGGGGGGGGGGGGGGTGCCATGGGTGGCCCTGTCGTCTAAGGCATCCCTTGGGCACGCCAGAAACCTATGATTGTGATTTCGAATCCTGGTTCACCCCGATTATGTTTCTAGGTTTGTCAGCACCATACCCATGCTCGTGGGTTTCACCGAAGTGGTAAACGCCTGAGACCTGCATCACTTAGGGCTCTCATTAAGGTGGACTTCCCTGCTGGTTTGCCTGCTTGGCTGTGGATGAAAGTTTTCCACATGAAAACTTCACATCTTGCTCGTTTTTCAGATGGTCAGGTCGGAATCATCGCGAAAAGATCAGCACTCACGTGGCCTTTGAAGAAGAGCTGAATATGACCCCCTACTGCACCAACATCCCCGATATATGTCAGTACAGACTCACCTCAGTCGTCATCCATCATGGCAGGGGTTTTGGGTCAGGTCACTACACCTCCTATTGCTACAACAGTGAAGCTGGTAAGTCAGTACACTAGTGTTTTGGCAAGGATATATGACTGTGTGAAATGTCACAGTATGTCCCTTTTACCCATAGTATGTAGGTGAGGTGAGGAGAAATGGGGTTTAGCGTCGCGTTCAAGATTATTGCACTTATATGCGTGTGGGTGTGCGTGTGTGTGTGCGTGCGTGTGTGTGCGTGCATGCGTTCATGTGCTAGTCTGGACTAATGCTGTTTTTATAGTTCTAGCCCACTTAGATACAATGCCACAATTTAACATGAATACCCCACTCGACACAGTATACAGACTCAGAGCCAACTAGTCCTTGTTTTAGCCACTTAGTGCCGAGTGTAACAATCATCTTGAAAGCATTGTGATACAATATCATTATGAAATGATATTCAAAGCTGTGTTAAACTCATGCTTGCCGTAAAAGGCGACTATGCTTGTCGTAAGAGGTAACTACTTACTTGATCGGCTCGCTGACTTGGTTGATGCATATCATCATATCCCAATTGAGTGGATCTGTGCTCATGATGTCAATTACTGGATTGTCTTGTCCAGACTCGATTATTTACAGACCGCCGTCATATTTGAGTGCGGCGTTAAACAACAAACAGATGAGCTCGCCAGCCAACCCACCCACCTACCTGTATCAGCCAGCATCTGTATCAATGTGATCATCCAGCTTTATTACCATTTCAGAATCCTGGATTCATTGCAATGACTCCAAGGTGGAGTTATGTCCCTTGAAAGAAGTGCTGGCCTCCCAGGCCTATATCTTGTTCTATACTCAGGACTACGATGTGCCATTTGAGGACCTTGCTGTGCCTTTAGACTCCAGTTGTGCTGACACGTCACTCTCCTGCTCTCAAGTGGTGGATGAGGAAATCACATTCAACTTCAAACAGCCGTCGCTGTCAAGTTCACTGACAAATTCAAAATGGAGAGATTCCTCCAGTTGTGGGTTGAAGCGCAGGCGCTCAACTTTGTGGTGAAATTGTGTTTGAAGTTGTGTTGGAACTTCAAGCAGCCTTGTATGATACAGACAGTATGATTATACATGATGGGATTTGGTGCCAATATGTCTCCCAGCAGCTGTAATGTCAAAGTGGAATAAATACAAGTGTAGCAGTCTGTACTAGACCGAAGGAAATGTGACTAGACTCGTGCTTTGGAATAGTGGCTCAGGTCATAGACTGATGTTGGAAATGACGTTTCTTTTTCAATATTTTATCTTTAGCAAAACATGCTCAAAAACAAATTTGTCAAGATACTCATTAGTGTTATTTTTGAAATATCTGATTTCTAATGTGACAGTTCTGATGTAAATATTTCTATGTTGTATGAATAGTGAAGATCTTGTTAACTTAAATAGTGTTTTAAGCTTAGAGATAAGCAAGAAATATAAGCATTGAATTTCTTTATTTGATTAATTAGGGAACCCCAGAAAATGACAATGAATTTAGAATTGATCATCATAAATTGGGGACCGGTCATTTAGGGTGGGCGGTGCTCAGGCAGAGGTTTTTGATGCACTACTGTGCTTAGAATAATCTGCATGCACTCACTCACTCACTCTTCCTCTTCCTCTTCCTCTTAATGCTTGTGGATGAAACTTTCCATGTCCTTTTACACTTTTTTTCAATGTTCTCTCCAAGAGGAAAGATGCAAAAGTTTGTCTTCTTTATTTGTGCCCCTCCCTTCAAGTCTGTCATAATTTTTTATGACCCTCCTGAATGCCCTTGTGATAAATGACTGGTCCCTTAATTGAGCAGAAGTGATATAGATGAATGTATGTTAGATTGAGGACAGGTTCAGGACACTTTACATATACTTTCTCCATGTTCACAGTTCAAACATGATTCTTTCAAGAGCCAGTATTTTATATATATTGTTTTAGGCTTTTGAAAACAATGAGTATGAGACTCCTTATGTTCTTAAGAGATAAGATAAGTATTTTGCTGAGAGCACTGCCAGGGATTTATCTGGTCCTGATTAGGGGCTGATTTGGGCGGGAAAATCTGCAGCAAAAGTCAGCAAAAAATCCAAAAGTGGAATTATGAATTTCCCAATTCATTTGTAGAAGTGTCTTGTATTTCACTGACAACAAGACCAATATCATGTGAATGTAGAGAAAGAGGCTTTAATGTTTATTTTAACATTATTGCATTGAATGCAATGTTAATATTCAATATTAAAATACCTCTGCATTTAGGAAATTAAGATTTTTTAAGATAATCTTAGTTTTGAACAAAATAACAATTTTTTTCCAATTTGCCTGCCAAGAGCATGTAATTTTGATTCCAAGATGAATCTCTGACTCTCTCTGAAGCAACTAAATCATAATTAGGACATAGCGTACAAACCAGTCAGAAAATGTTGTTCTGAATCCTGGTTGTATTACCATCACACTGGTGAAAGAGGCAGGAAGCACAGTAATATGCAGATGCAAGATGTGAAACTCTTTATGGATAACAACTTATTATTCTTTGTAACAAAGTTTCAAGACATCTTGCCCCATCATCAGGTGAATCATTCTAAGGACACCTTCATTTGTGGTTGTGTCAGGTGAACTTTCTAATCTGCCAATCAGTGTTGAGGCTTCTAAATTCTCGGTATGAGTGAGGGAGGAATTCAATGAAGAGTATCTGATTTCTGTATCTCAAAAACAAATATAATTGGGGATATCCAAATGAAACAGTATACAGCTTCATTATTATATAGTTGGGGAATAAAGAAGTTGCTATCCATAAAAAGTTTCACGTGTCCATGTTTTTCCAACTTCCAAATGCCTATCAAAGACTTCAACTTTGTCAACATGTGATTATATATGGTTCATATCAACAAGAGAGTCAGTGTCAACTGAAGCTCTCTTCAAGTTCAGTGTCGTATCAAACATAGTTTCTCTTATGTGTGTTCCCTAATTTGTTTCCATCAGTATATATGGCTAAGATTGTGAACCAATATGAAATTGTGACAAATGTAATCAGATGATGTGATGTGAACATTTAGCATGTTAAGAGCTTGTGGGCTGACCAGATCTGGCTAAAATGATAAATTGTATCATATGATACCGGTTATGTGAACTTGGTGTGCTTCCATCCTGAATTATGAGGTTGTGATTGAGATGACGTCACAGCATGGCAGCATATGTTGGGAAACTGGCTTGAACTGTAAAATGGGCATACCATGAATGTTTTGCGTCCCAATAGGCAGCTTGTTTTGTACTTCAGATGTTGTGTTCTTGTGTCATGACTATTGATTTTCATAGATTGTAAACCATCTTCCTGAGGCAAGGGAGTTATCTGACTGTAAAAATCCAGTTTCCACCCTTGTCAAACTATGCTATAATCTCTTGGCTTGATCGTAGTGCCACCAGTTGCTATTACGAGTTATGGCTCTTCTATTGACCAATCAGATTGCATCTCTCATCACTTGCACTTGCTTCAAATAAAATGGTGGCATCCAGTGAAGATGATCTGATGGATAATCAAGATCTATAATGTAATAAAAGTTACTTTGAGAAGTGCATCAAATCACATGAACACCTAGATTTATAACATGAAAAGATTTGGAAAGTACACATGCTTTGCAAATCCTGCATTCTACATGTTCTGAACCGGATGTCGATTTTGTTACCCGATTTTGATTGGACTGTGCATGGACTTGTTTGTCCAGCCAAAATATAACTCCATAATTCCAGCCTAGTTCAGCAAGGGTGAAAAATGGACTTTTATGGTCAGTTAACTGTCTTGACTCGGGAAGATGATTGTAAAGGGGCAATGTAGACTTGTCACAAGTCACCAAGGTATATTGTCCCATTGTTTTGTTGATATCATCAGTGCTACCCATGGGCTTTATCGGATGACCATTTTTCTCCCACATTATAGTGTCAGTTTCACATTTTTTAGAAGCTTTATATAACAAATGAATGGCATTTTCTCAGGATTTTCTATATTTTCACACCCACATATTTTTGTGTCAGTCTTCTGTGTTCAGAACAAATTCTGCTCCCTTTTTGATCAGCCCACCTCGACATGCCTCATTTCATTTTGGATGAAGGCACAACTCACTGTGCCGAGTCCCATAGGCTCACCAGAAACCTTTCATCATAAAGGTTTGCCACAATTATGTTACTAGATTTGTCAGCACCATACCCATGCTCATTGGTTTCACCAAAGTGGTAAACAAATGCATCACTTCGAGCTTTCCTCCAACATCAAGCTGACACCAAGGTATAGCTGGAATACTGTTCAAAGAGACGTTAAATCGAACTCATTCACTCACTCATTCACTTAAATGCTGCATAGTGTTAAACTCACTCACTCACTCATATGGGATGATGCCTGGGATGTTGGTGTTGTGCAGACATCTGCAGCCTTCGAAATTCAGGGTTTGTTTAAAACTGGTCGAAAGGACTCGTGGAAACGTTATTTCACTAGCCCTCTGGTTTTGCAGCTAATCTAATCTTGAATAAGACCAAATGTTTACTATGTTTACATTTTGTCAGTTTTATTCAGTTCCAGTTTGTAGCAAATTGAAGCATTGAGAGCTGGCTCAGAATTACAGCCCTCAATGAGGACTACCATAATTTGATTTTTTTTTTGTCCTCTGCAAGTGTACTTGAGTGAATTTCGCAGTTTGCATGTGTGGAATTGGTAGCCAGCCGAGTGGTCCCCATGAATCCATGTAATGGCAGCCATACTGTCCCCTGATCAATCATTGTCATTGCTATTATATAGATTCCTTGATTAACATGATTTCATTTCTTCACAGAAGAACTTTTCACAAGTGGGGCTCTTTGGTAGGCCAATGGTTCAGGTGTTAGCTCATCATGCCAAAGACCTTGGTTTGATTGCCCCAAGGATGGGACAATGTGTGAAGCCCATTCTAGATTTTCCCCTCCTTGATCAGTCTCATTAGAATCAGATCTTTTACTCCATTTCGTTACCAACATTGAGATCTGAGGTCACGTCAGGTGAACTTTCTAATCAGCCAATCAGTGTTGGGGCTTCTAAATTCTCGGTATGAGTGAGCGAAGCATTCAAAGAAGCATATCTGATTTCTGTATCTCGAAAGCAAATATATTTGGGGAGATCTGCAGCTGCGATATTATATGGCTGTGGGTATTTTAAAATCATGTCATTTTTTATCACCGTGGCATCTGCACCCTAAAGGGTGTACCCATTGCTATGGAAGAAACGTGTGTGGCAGTTTTCTTTTCCTAAGATCAAAATTTCTGGATCAGTTTAAGAAAGCTGACATCTGATTGGTTCAAGAACCTTCAGTTTGACCAGGCAGTTAAAGTTTGTTCAGGGTGTGCTAGATGTGACCTATCGATGTGCCATCAGATCTTCATGCAGAGAGGGATCAGAGTGATCTGATTTTAATGAGACTGCACCATGATACCTGTGACATATTGCTCACACCCTTTCACTCTGATTCTCATTTCAATATACCTGGGGCAGCCAAGTGGTAATGTGTTCATTTATTCTGCCGAAGACCTCAGTTCTATTCCTTTGGGAGAACAATTTATAGGGAAAAAACCACTTAATCTTGTTGTCCATTCTGTTACTTAACTGTTACCTTTTATGCTCAGATCCTAAAAAAACTCATTCTCCCTATTTCCGTGCTGTGTTCAATTTTATATCTGGGATAGGCAAGTGGTGAAGTGCACATTTATTCCATCAAAGACATGGGTTCTATTCCCTTTGGAAAACATTTTGTGTCACTCAATCATGTTGATCTTTCTGTGATACTTTAATTATTCCTCTATTGCTAAGCTCTCTCTGTCTTGTTTTTCCATGCTGTTCAAATTTATACCTTGGGTAGCCCAGCGGTTAAAGTGCTTAGTTGTTCCATCAGAAACATGGGTTCTGTTCCTCTTCACCAGGAGCTTCTCTCACTCCCAGCTTTAGAAATTGACAGTAGTCCCATGGTCCTTGCCAAACAGCTCAATAGTTCATGTATTATAAGGACTAGTAGAAATTTGCCATTATCAGTGGTTTTGCTCTATGTTATCATTATGGGGACTAGTTTACAGAAAGAGTTAGGCCAGGCGTGTTATATTTTTCGGATTACGGACCAGCCGACTCTAATTTTTGAGAAAATGTATATAAAAAAAAGAAAATCAGATTTCCATATATTTTTTTCACCACACCGATAGCCATGTAGTCAGTTATTTTATTTGTTATCATCACCTTTTAATAATAAACATATGAACTTTGTTGATCTCGAAGCCAAACATGAATAGCCTCCCTTGAACATTTTCCTGGTCGTAAGTGGTAGAATGTTTATTGTTACAAGGGGCATTATCATCACAAATGGCGGTCTTTTGAGCACAGAATATGTTCATAAAGTATGCCAGAGGCATTCTGCATTTTTAAAAATTGCATCTGGCTTTTTTTTCCCTCCTCCAACCTTGACTTTGGGCTGAAAAATCCGTAATAAAATAAAAAAATTCTGGCCTTAGTTTCTATTGCTGACTCCTATTGTACCATGGTTACTCGAAATCAACCTGTAGTTCTAGGTGTAATTACAGAGCAGCAGCCCAGATTATAGGATGCTTACATCAGCACAGTATGTAGTGCTCTTGCAGTACCCCAGTTTTAAGTACTGAGTGAGGCGTTGAACAACAAACCCACACAATTTAAGTATGTCAGGTCACTGTGACTTCCATGGTCACACCTAGCTGGTCACATGTAAAAGGAGTATTGAGTACTTTTCATACAGTTGTTTGACAGATTGAGTGCCATTCTGTTATCATGCCCTGTCCATACTTATGTAGTTGTAGTCAGGCCCAGGAAACAATGGTTCCACGAAGATATGAAACTGATTGGTTGTTGTGTTCTGCAGCATTACTCGTTCAATCCTGTTCACCATCATGGTAAAACTTGTTGACCCTCTTGCATTCATAGAATACAGGTTTCCTACGGTAATATGGTTGTAAGCATATTTTGTATGGAGTAAACATGTTATTTGCCTTGTAGGGTGTATTAAAGAAAGACCCCATTACTAATCTCGACACATGTACTTAAACTTTTCATGTGTGCATCTTGAACCAATTCACATATTTTTCAAGACTGTTGACTGTCAACAAACCAGTAGTCATCACCATTATCGTCATTTTAAGGTGTGAAGCCTTTACTGATGCACCTTGCCGTGATATTGCTGGAATATTGCTAACAGCAGCGTAAAACATACTCGCTTACGACAACAAAAACTGATGTCTTTGACTGGGGAAGCTTTGACGTAGGTGACGTATCCTAGGTGTTTGAGTGCAGCATTGTCATCCCACACCAATTTCAGTATCCGGAATCTTTAGTAAATGTGCAATTTCAGGAATGTGGGTTCATTCTGCTGGAGTGTTAGACACCATTCTACTGGAGGATGTCGTTTAGATGCAATTAGACAGGGATAAAATCAAGAATATGAAAACAGTAACATGCAAATTGAAGGATGCAATAAGTGTTGCCTTGATGAACCTCTTATCTTGTACTTACTACACAATGTTCCCATTATGCAATGTGTCTGAAAGTTTTACTACATTGCTAAGTGGAATTGGTTGATCTTTTCCTTGCGATATCGTATGAAGAATTCACATGAAGTCTTAGATGTAGTTTGTGTTGGAATTTTCATTTCTGGAATAACATTTTTCAATTTTCAAATAAAAAACATAGTACTGATTTTTATCACATGCTCACATTATTGCTGTGACCACCATGACAGGTATCTCTTTCTTCTTTCCCTCCTCCCCCCGTACTTGTGAATATCACTGTTCCAAGTGGACTGTGTCTAGATATGCCAGTTCATGTTCATGTTCAAACATCTCTTCCCGTTTGATTTTTCTCAAACTGGTGTCTTACCCAGGTGAAATTAACTGATTATTACTTTGTACTAGAAATCCCATCAGTGTCCTATGTCCTGTATTGTGTCTGTGTTGTACTGTGTCCCACCACAAAGCCACCCTGCAGTATTCTGATGTGTAAATAGAAGGAGCTGTTACATCTATTGAGAGCCAAGGTTTATTTTTGCATGTTGTGTAATCCACCATATTTAAAAAATGTGACAAATATGAATGTATTTTATCTATGAATCTGGATCTGTTGTGATGAGGTCTTCACCTGAAACGGTGCCCTGAACTGAATGGTGAACGAGGTGGAATAAAGAAGTCGCCACCAAGGGAGACAACTACAGTATGTCTCCCCGAGAGGACTAGTGCTTTGTTGGTAAACTTAACTCCATCAAAACAAGATTGACTTCTGGATTTCAACTGTTTATTATTATTCCTTCAGGGTAACATTTCATTAAAGATCTTCTCATTGCCACTTCAAGAAACTGCAATCACCCATTATCTATTTCATTTGAAATTTAGAGAGAAAAAAACATGAAATGTGTACCAGAGATATAATATGTATATATTGTTTCAGAAAATGGAACTGGTCTAACAGTTGAATAATATTCTTGCTTCATTTGTTGAATAAAATCAATGGATTAGCAAAATATTTAAAAACTGCTACAAATTAGATTCTGAGACCTAAGATGTTACAGCCTGATGTTTTGATGGGTTTTTGGGGGGGACGGGGGAAGAGATTTGTTTTTATTTTATTTTGGGGGTGGGGGGATACTTTTGTTGTTGGACAGGTGAATGAGGGACAACCTATAATTAACACCTGAAACAAGACAAAAGCTGAAAATGACTGTTTCCCCAAAATAATTTGGCCAACTCTGTTTAACAATGAGGTAAAACAAACAAAAAAACACAAGATTTTATTACCCCTGTTCATAAGAAACGGTGAAGAATATATATGAAAATCTTTATACAACAACAAAAACCCTATCAAATGTCTGTCAGTATCTTGATGTTAAAACATGTTTGTTTTTCATTCATTCATAGCAGCACTAATCAAATATAGAAGTTGAATTTTATTTGTGTTTTTCCCCCGACCACCTACATTGTATTTTATTGTAGGATGTTAAATTATTTTACAAGTATCCACCTGTTATGGGTTTTCCGATGCTTAAGAAACAATAATAATTTTGTGATCATCACAATAAACATGGCCGTCCTGAAACATATAATCGGACAATACATGTATTTCCTACAGTCAGTGGAGACTGTGTTTTCTTGCAATGCTTCTGCAAGAACCCTTGTACTATTCTATGTATTTGATAACAAACTATTTAAGTTAACAGTCATGGTATATCAGGTTTGGGTAAGGACTGGAGCAGTTTGGGAATAAAGATAGATTTGGAGGATTTTTCAAAATGTTCATCCTTGTCAGTCGTCCATGAACTGAAATAAATAAAAAGGTGTTGCCTAGGTAGTGTCTTTGTTGTAGTGTGTATGTGTGTGTATATCCGTGTATATCCTCCGGGATGTTACTTAGTGTGGAACATGTCTCTCGGGCCAATCTACTTACATGTTTTAGTTTTGTTACATATGTACATTTTTAAACAGATGAATACTAGAAAATTCTTATTGCTAAAAGCCAAATCTACCTGAAATGTGTATGTTGCTGTACCATCTACCCATGTAAATAAAACTTTGTAAATGAGACTGAGTCATTTACTGGAGATGTCAACATCTACCGAAGGGTACCCAGTGGTGTGAGCAGGATCTGCTTATAATAGGTTCGAATCCCTGCTTGATCCTGATTCCTATTTCCATTTATATTTTACCCAACTAGTTTGTAAGATTTCAAAAAAAATGTTTGTTAGAACTGTGTTCCATTATGCTTGTCGTAAGAGGCGACTAACGGGATCGGGTGGTCAGGCTTGTTAACTTGGTTGATGAATGACATCATATCCCAATTGTGTAGATCATGCAATGATGTCAGGCACTGGATTGTCTGGTCCAGACTCGATTATCTACAGACACCCATCATACCGCTGGAATATTGCTGAGCACAGTGTTAAACAACAAACAAACCAAATATCCTTGTTAAAGTAGATAGGTCCCCAGTACATGATGCTTCTTGAAAGTGCTGGCAATGATGGAAACAGGTGGTCAGAGTGTGACTTAATTGATTCAGTCATACTAGATATGACTTGTGTGATGCTTGCAGGAAAGCAGGTAAATATTTGTTCAAATGTTTGCTGTGTGACTTTGCTGGTGACATGATGGTCGAATAAGATGTGTCAGATTCTTGGTTAGAAGAAACCCATGCTCATTGTGAGAGTCGACTAACAGGATTGGGTGGTCAGGCTGGCTGACATGGTTGATGGAAGTATTAAACAACAAACAAACAAGAGAGCCAGGTCCACTCACCCACTCACCCACTCACCCACTCACTTTAAATAAACCAATAAGATTAGCCTTCTGTTGGACTTGCTACTTCATGGGTGACTGTTACAAGGCCTTGCGATTAACATCCAGTGAAGGCCAGAGAAATATTACTATGCCATTATGGTATCTAACCCACTGCCATCTGTCCAGTTAGTTTAACAGAGGAGTACAATTGCCCAAACCCAAATTTGCACTGACAATGCTCCTTGGTTTGTCAAGACCATACCTGCCCCACTGTCAGCTTTCCTTGTGGACATCTTTGCTGATGCTCGAGAGATGACAGAGCTGTTATGTGAGGTGTGAATGTTCCCAGTCTAGCTCGACAACAAAACATCTTTCGATCATCCTTAAGCCTCAGTCACACAGACAATGCGACCGCAATGCAACCTCCTGGCGACCAAACTATTTGACAATCGCAATGAGGTTTCAAGGGTCTCTGAAAGCTTTCACTGAGGTCGCCACAAGGTTTCAGAGCGGTTGCAAAACCCATCGATCGCAACCAGGCTTTTGAACATGCACAAAAGACTAGCTGCGACCGATTTGGTCGCTCGGAGGTTTCTTTGGTCTCCTAGAGTTCCCCAAGTGTAGTTATTCTAATCGCAGATTGGTTCCCACTCTGTGGCGATCGGTTTCGTCTACACAAGGGTGTTGACTCTTTGCAACCTAGTGGCGACCTATCGGTGATCGATCAGTGATGAGGCGGTGATCCACCGGCGCTTCATCGGTGACTGGTTGTCGATCAGTTGCAAAGTGGTTACCAAGCATGCGTCGATCATTCGCCGTTCGGTTTGCAACATGTCACCGTCTGGAAAAAGACCTGTCTGTGCTCTACAGCATCATTTTGTCATAAGTACTCAGAGTTCACATCAGTTATTTCCTCACTATGGTCCGAAAAGGCAGGAAAATAAAAGAACCAGAAATTGTAGAAGATACAATAGAGACAACTGCTGTGGTGCACAGGTCTGCCACAATGGAGCCAGAGCCAACAACGTCTCAACAAAAGAAGAGGCGGACACCTGATGAGGAGAAACAGCCAGATATGCCCGATGTTGACAGGACATTCTGAGGTAGCCCACGAAATCACAACGACTTTCTCTTTCCAGCTCTGCCATCAGATTCTCATGGTCTCAGCCAATACTAATTTAACATTGTCCTTCTCATTCTTCTGCACATCATCATTGCAGCAACTGCAGCATTTTGATTTATTCTTTGCAGACGGAGCAACTGCAACTGTTCTGCTGTTAACATCTGGACAACTTGCAAAGAAATAATTTGATTAAGAAAACACCCTTTTTATACGCATTATATTTTGATCGGTGATAAATCGACAACTAGTCTCCGACCAGTCCCCGTTCAGTTACAACAAGTCACCGAGGATTCGCTGACTAGTCACCGATCGGTCTCAACCGGTTGCAAACATTTCGCTCTATCTGCGGTGAACAGTTGCAATCACTGACAAGTTGCAAAACCTATCGCTGATTGATTTGCGATCATACGCTAATTCCAAATATGGGCAGAAGTAGTTGCCCCGGTCTCAGCGATTGCCAGTTGTCGCAAAGGAAACCATCAATATTAGATCATACCCCCCATTCGTATATACGGTGCGACATGGTCCGAATCAAACCCCAATGACAATTTGAGGAAGTCTTCTGGTCCAGTTCAGCTAATGTAATTTCTTTCTTCCTTTGTTGGTTACCGCCGCACTCAGCAATATTCAAGTTATAACGGCGGTCTGTCACTAATCGAGTCTGGGCCAGATAAACCAGTGATTGATATCAAGAGCATCGATCCAAGCAATTGGGACACGATGACATGTATCAACCAAGTCAGCTAGCATGACCACCCGATCCCAATCTCATAAAAATCAGATCTTAGTTCTCGCTGTCGCTGAACATAGATCTGAGGACATCCCATTACGGGTCACGTCAGAACGACCTTTCATCCGACCAAGGCGTCGCTTACCAGATCAGGAAAGTGACAGTCGGAATGTGTTTTCTAATCATGCAACCTCGAAAACATTACACATACCATCTAGCTGTAAACACCTTGGCGTCAGGCTGGTATTTTTCGATTTGGTAAAGGTGATACAACACGTTGTCGCCGACCGTGCCTATTAGCTTGTCAGTAGCTTAAACGTCAGTGGGTTGGCTCAAGTGCGCAACGATTTGAATAGCAGGTTGGGATCGACTTAATAAAACCTGGTTTCAGATTAATCGAAGATGGACTGTTATTAACGGGGCCGAACATTAACATTATGTGTCTGCAGAAACCTGTTTCAAAGTCTGCAAATCCCAAGCTGAGACATATAGCGCTCAGACGTGATCACGTTGTAAACGACGTATTCCTAATCTGACCAAAAATAATGCATTAAATCAAGAGTAGAGAGTTTCGTGTTACTGAGTATAAAGAAAACTAACAATACTAAGTACTTGAGAAAACACGACTCAGAGGTTTTGGTAGAGAATGTAAAACCTCGGGAGGAGGGATTTCCCGACTCTAGAGGTTTAACATTCTCTACCAAAACCGAGGAGGAGTGTTTTATCCCGCTTAGAAACCGTTAAACGTTTAGAATTACTGCAAATTTAATTGTCTCCCATTTAGGGCACTATAACGGGGATTTACTACCTCGCTATTGCCAGGATAAGCGCATAGAAAGAACCCGAACCATGCACGTGCGATACATGCGGTAAGAACACGTGGTTGTCTTTCTCAGTTGAGTTCGAGATGTCGAGCGAGGAGGAAGGCGGAGACCTATTTCTAACTCAAAGTAAGTTTGTGGAAACTAAGGATGTCAGTGACGACGCAGATGATTTTCACTTTCGTTTTGCATCTCCATTGTCTGAAGAAGGACTACAGAGGAAGCTGGACGTGTTTCTGCGAACAAAACTAATCACTCACTGCGAGCGACAGCTGCAACAAGACTGTATGAAGCGGAAGTAAGCGAGCAGCAGATTTGCGAACAAACTAGTAAGTTTAGTTCAATGTATAGGACAGTCCTTATTTTATGGAAACCAATATTTTATGATTATCACTGTTTCGAATATTATCTGTGAATAAAATGAAACGCCCTCAACAAGCGTATAGAAATGGTTAATTTTTACTATAAAAATGTATTTTGATGTAGCCATATTTTCTAAAGTGGCTTAATGCTTTATAGATGTTTAGAACATACGGTTGTATACTTTGTTGTAATGAACTATAACAAATATTGTTTAGGGCACCGGAGTAGTGCTGTCCGCTTCTACAAACGCACCAGCGACGATCTAAAGTCCAAGGCTTCAGACATTATCGGAAGGAAGAGTCCCCTAAAAAGACAGAGACAGTGTCTTGTGCGCCACCAACTTCAGTGACTGAGACAACTACTTCCGCAACTGAGATAGCTACTTCTGAAGGTACTTCGGCAGGTACCTCTGTAGACTCAACGACTGAGGCAAATCTGGAAGGTCTATCCCAAAAAGGGTCTCTCTACTTTACATTTAACTTTCATTAAAGGATGTTACTGGCTGTTGTTTTCTGTTGTCTTTGTGCAGAAGTCCGGGTATGTGCCTTTTAGTAAGACCCTGTGATGAAAAATCAGTGTGTATTGAGAATGTATTTTTTTCAGTGGCGAGACCTGGTATGGAGGTCTTACCTTTTTACAAAGACCCTGGGATGAGGTTTTACTAAATTTACAAAAACCTCATCCCAGGGTTTTGGTAAAAATGTAAAACCTCTTCCCAGGTTTTACCATTGGCAGAAAACTGTGACATCTTTTCATGATGGCGATACCCACATAATAGGTTTCTAATGGCTGAGAGCGATTGACAACCTTTCACTGAAGTGTCAAAATCACCACCCCAACACACACACCCCACACCAACCCCCAACTAACCCCAATATCAAATGATTGGTCGCTTTTCAACAAATGCCTGAAAGGGTCATATTGGCGTCCGTCGTTTATTTGTTACAAGTGCCAGTGGTAAGTGCTACAAGTTAACCAAGAATTCCTTTTACATTATATATTTGATGGTCCTACTCTAAAAATCGCTACATTAACCCTTCAAACAGATCTATGATGTCTATGTGTGTCCTGATGTTGTCAGGGCAGCGGTCGACTGAACAATAGGTTGCAGCTGCACGCCACGGACACCCTCTCCCAGTAGAGCCGATATGTCCACACACCCTGGATACACCCGGCTCGTCTCAGTACCTGGGTGTGCGTGAACAATCTACGACACCCGAGGTGAGCCACGACCTCTTCACGCGCACGTGGACGACGTCTCAGAAAGCACCTGTCGCACGCGCAATCTGCCTGAACAAGTTCTCGTGGAATACGATCCGGGTCATATTCCAGAATAAAGTACGATGGGCACAGATTGCCGCCATGTTTTCGAATCGCCTTCCGGGCGTCGGAGCACTTCCGGTAGCCGCCGAAGAAGGATATGAACTTTTTGCTGAATGGGTAGATGTAGCCGTTCTTTCTTTTCATGATGGTTTGCAGTCGTGGGAGGTTGAGGAAGGTGGGATGGAGGTACTCAGCGTACAGGTTCGGTATGTCCTGGCGGAGCTTCTCGATGTCTGGTTCGGTGCAGTACCCGGTGCCGGAATGGCCGTCCAGGACGTCGCAGGTGACGAAACAGGAGCTGATGATGAGGGTCACTACTAGGATGTACATACCTGTTGAAAAACAAAGGTCTGGTTGCTTATACTTGGTATAAATGTAAGAATGGCAGTCTTTAGATTTAAAGTAACCTTTAATAGCCTTAAAGTTGAAATAGAACCGATTGCGTCAGTTGTAACGATTCTCACCCCCAGTAGTGACGCTGGGGCACAACTCTCACCCCCAGTAGTGACGCTGGGACACGACTCTCACCCCAGTAGTGACGCTGGGGCACGACTCTCACCCCCAGTAGTGACGCTGGGACAGGACACTACCAGATACGTGATGACGCAGCCGCACGACGGACTCAAAACAGAAGCTGACTCACACCTATAACCCTACCGTGACATTGATGCTTGGCATAGTGTTCCGTCAGGGCTGAATAGATCTCCAGTGTCCAATACCTGCCGTAAGAGTGAGTGTGTGTGTATGGTTTTACGTCGCTTTTAGCAATATTCCAGAAATATCACGCTGCCTGTCGCAAAAGCAGATCTTAGGAAACGAAATTGGCGCTATTTCAGTGATGACAGCGTGTGACCTGGCTGACTGCGTGCCATCGGAACCCGACGGCGTCAATCTGCCTGTTTTTCCTGGCCAAGGCTCCAGTGCACTCGTTAGGTGACTGCGGCGAAAAACTTAATTTCCGAGTCATGGCTCTGTTGCTGATAGGGCTTCAAAGAAAAACATCCAAAGTCCCACATTTCAGGAAAAGCCAATATGGTACAAAATGTTGTCCAGTTAAAACACCCTCGCTTACGCAGGACGTTCACGTCATAATAAACTATTGTATATACTGTAAACACTAAACTCGACTGTCCTTTTACAGTTCCAAAGCCCGGGTGTCTTCACGTGGTATTGTTTTTGGTTTCTGAATGTAAGGGTTCTAGATGAAGACGGCGTGAGTGAGTAAGGTTATACGCTGCTTCCAGCAATATAACGACGGTGTTGCGCTGAGAAACTTAAACTATTAATGAAGGCGATTATGGATTTCCAAGCCACCATATATAGGCGTTAGACACCCCCAATGATTACACGGCACAGTGAGTGAGTACGGGTTTAAGCCGATTTTGGCAATATCACGGTGAGGGACTCGAGAATTGGGCTTCACACATTTTTCCCATGTGGGGAATCGAACCCGGGTGACGAGCGAACGCTTTAACCACTAGGCTATCATGGAATAATCGATCCTTTTTTTTAACAAAATAAAAACGGATGCAATTTTGACAAGGTTGGGGACAAAGCTGTAAATGTATTCTGCCCGGCGACTTAAACGCCAGAACTTTGAGTACACCTAGATACATTTGTTGATGATAGCTCGGACTATCTGCCCGTCGACCCTGACTTTGTATCACATGTTTTTGACCGTCCTCGCTATTGATGTGATCGACGCGATAATACTTATGGAATATATACAATTGACATCTGCAAGATATTTGAAATTCACATAGTCAATGAGAAATTTACATCTGACATTCCGAGGAACTTTACGTTTTTCTCGCCATATGGTTGCAGCATCGTCGACTGTTTTATTGTATCATGTGAATTCTCCTTTAACCTTGTTGATATGTCAGTACTGTCTCGGGCAGGATCGGATATGTCACGTATGTGTTCGATCAGTGACGTGTTTACTTGTAAGCAAGTCGAACCATGACGTGCCTCTTGTACATGTACAAAAGTATAAACTCATCAGTTAATGAGAATTTGAATATTTACAACAGGTTTTATCGTTGACAAAATACTTTTTGCTTCATGAATTTGTTACACTACTTATTATTTTGCCTTGTCGATGTGGAACTGACGTAAAAATGACGTCAACAGCTTGTCTACGGGATAGACACTTACGATAAAGGGAGACAATTTAGAGGGGGGGGGGGGGTAACTCTTGTGTGACAATAGTTCCGTTAAAGTGTTATGTTCACAGCAGTGAAATATCAAGTGTTATGTTCACTGCAATGAAAATATCACTTTTCTCAACTTCAGAAAACTCAGTCTTTCACACTGAAGTATATAATAAAATGATTACGCATATGGGTCTACTTTACTTATCTCTGAAACACAGGCTGGTTTTCGGCCAAACTGCTCCACAATTGATAACATTTTTACAAGGGCAGAGACGGGTCCAAATTTGCTGACTCAAACTGAGCGTTAAAAGAAAGAACACCGACTTTGTTTTTTCATGTAATTGAAAATTGAAATAACTGTTGAACACGTCCCATTTTAATTCTGGAAACCCAAAAGTCCAGAAACTCTACGGTCTTTGCCCAGTCTCGGTTAAAGGTATTTACAAAATTAAACATGCCGTTTTCATGGGAACATACCAAGGAAGAAAAAATGAAAAAAAAATTGTTTAAAAACTCAATATTTAGACTATGTCGCCCATGGGCCTGTCCATGGGCGAAGTGTGGCCCATGGGCCTGCCCATGGGCGAAGTCTGGCCCATGGGTAGGCCCATGGGCGAGAATATGTTCCTTTACTTAAAACTCATGTTTTTGTTTCGCAAATACATTTAATGTATTCATTCAAGTATCATGACACAAAATTTAATTCATTTTAACTTAATTCAACGATTTTATAGCGATATTGAAATATTTCGCCCATGGGCGAGAAAAAGGTTTGGCCCATTGGCGAGAATATGTTCCTTTACTTAAAACTCATGATTTTGTTTCGCAAATACATTAAATGTATTTATTGAAGTATCATGACACAAAATTTAACTCATTTTAACTTAATTCAACTATTTTATAGCGATATTGAAATATTTCGCACATGGGCGAGAAAAAGGTTTGGCCCATGGGTAGGCCCATGGGCAGGCCCATGGGCGAGAATATGTTCCTTTACTTAAAACTCATGTTTTTGTTTCGCAAATACATTTAATGTATTCATTCAAGTATCATGACACAAAATTTAATTCATTTTAACTTAATTCAACGATTTTATAGCGATATTGAAATATTTCGCCCATGGGCGAGAAAAAGGTTTGGCCCATGGGCGAGAATATGTTCCTTTATTTAAAACTCATGATTTTGTTTCGCAAATACATTAAATGTATTTATTGAAGTATCATGACACAAAATTTAACTCATTTTAACTTAATTCAACTATTTTATAGCGATATTGAAATATTTCGCACATGGGCGAGAAAAAGGTTTGGCCCATGGGTAGGCCCATGGGTAGGCCCATGGGCGAGAATATGTTCCTTTACTTAAAACTCATGTTTTTGTTTCGCAAATACATTTAATGTATTCATTCAAGTATCATGACACAAAATGTAATTCATTTTAACTTAATTCAACGATTTTATAGCGATATTGAAATATTTCGCCCATGGGCGAGAAAAAGGTTTGGCCCATGGGCGAGAATATTTTCCTTTATTTAAAACTCATGATTTTGTTTCGCAAATACATTAAATGTATTTATTGAAGTATCATGACACAAAATTTAACTCATTTTAACTTCATTCAACGATTTTATAGCGATATTGAAATATTTCGCCCTCTGGGCGAGAAAAAGGTTTGGCCCATGGGCGAGAATATGTTCCTTTACTCAAAACTCATGATTTTGTTTCGCGAATACATTAAATGTATTCATTGGAGTATCATGACACAAAATTAAACTCATTTTAACTTAATTCAACGATTTTATAGCGATATTGAAATATTTCGCCCATGGGCGAGAAAAAGGTTTGGCCCATGGGCAGGCCCATGGGCGAGAACATGTTCCTTTACTCAAAACTCATGTTTTTGTTTCGCAAATACATTAAATGTATTTATTCAAGTATCATGACACAAAATTTAACTAATTTTTACTTAATTGAACTATTTTACGGCGTTATTAAAATATTTCGCCCATGTTTTCGTCAGTCCCTTTCAAGCATCAACTAACTGTTTGCAAAGTATATTGTATCATGTGAAATATACTTTATATTATATCATTACATTACTATTTACAAAGGGCATTTGGTTGGATGTTTCCTTTAGTTCTACAAATTTCACCTGTTTTACATATTGTAGCGATCTTTAATGAACCCGGCCTTACCTCTCAAAACGTTTTGACAGTTTATCATACGAATTCATGTGCGTGTACTCCAATTCATTGGAGTTATTTTCCACAACATTAAATTTTAGTTAGTTTCTATTTCATTTCCCATTTAATGTCCCGTTGATACATCACACTGGGCAATTACGTGACACTAGGTATGCAATATACAGGTACGCGTGCGCGTATTTTAATGAAAAAAACTATTCGTCTTTTATTGCATAACGTTTGGCTGAATATCTTACATTCTAACGAAATCTCGAAATAATTATTTAATTACATGCGGTTTCGAACTGACCAGTGGGAATTATGTTTCAATGCGATTGAGGAAAACGTGAGTGAATATTGTGACACTAAAGCAACTTTTAACTGCATTGTCACTTTTGGTATGAAAATGGTAACAGTTCAGAAAAAACGTAACAGCCTTCTTATGATAATTCTCATTAGTATGTTGTATCTAATTACAGTGTCGGCCTTATTTACAGGTGATTCTACAATACCTGCTCTCGGTCAATTACGATCTACCACACCACGCGTGAATAAACAGTTATGCAGGTGTTGCTGTGGGCAAATACCTAGCCTGAAAATGTTTATTTTTTTGTAGGATACATGTTTTACAAATGTTCGTTGATATGTGGATATATTAAGCACAAAGACAAAAAAATGTTTATAAAGATGAATTAGTGCCTTGATATATTCATCGAGATGTGTATCATCGTTTAATGGGGTCATTCAATAAACGTATGTTTGGAGGAGATATCAAAGGAGCCGCCCAATATACACAGTGTCGTCCGGTGAACTACCACCCCACCCTGTCCATTAGAGTTATGTAATCGGTACACAAATATATTTGATGCGGTGTCAGTGCGGAAGGAGTTTGAATTACGTCCGCCACTTGCCACAGAAATCCTCAAAGTATAGAAACAATAAACAAGGTCAATCCGTACTAATTACCTAGTGACGCACGTAACAACGACTGTCA